CAGAGGAGCAGGAAGGCTGACGTTTCGGGCCTAGACCCTTGTTATCTCAGATTCTCCAGCATCTGCAGTTCCTACTATCTCTGAGATAAATAAGTTGATTTCTGGCAAACAGTAACTAAAAAAGTGTCACAGGATTCAGCAAGAGGACCTCAACTATTTACAATATCTGGTAATAACTTGGATGAAGAGTTTGATGGTATTGTAGCTGAAGTTGCTGATAACACAAAGAAAAGCAGGAAATAAGTTGTGAGGAGATCGCAAGATCGTATTTTCAACACGGAGGCCAAAATCAGGAGGTGGGACTAATCCAGCATTTACAATCTTGTCTCCATCTTGAAATTGCCAGCATGCAGGATCTTGTTGGGATCCAAGTTTATTTGGCCAGGAGGCAGGAGTGGAGGCAGGAAGAGTCTAGAATGGGCTGGTGATAAGGCTGGCTTCCCTCCCCAAAAGTCCTGAGCCTGTGCTTCCACAGCAATCAGCACTGGCTCTGCTAATTATAGGTGAACATTCTGACTATTTTAAAACACTCTCACGCTATCCTCTCATTCATTATCTACTTTAAGAGCAGAATTGAAACCCTACTGGAGCGAGGCAGGTTGAAGGGTGATCTTATAAAAGTTTATAAAATCATGAGGGGTATAGATAGGGTTAATGGTAGGTGTCCTTTCCCTAGGATGGGGGATTTCAAGACTAAGGGGCACATTTTTAAGGTGAGCGGAGAAAGATTTAAAAAAGACATAAGAGGTGAATTTTTTACACAGAGAGGGTGGTTCGTGTGTGGAATGAACTTCCTGAGGAACTGGTGGATGTGGGCAAATTACAATGTTTAAAAGATATTTGCATAAGTCCACAAATAGGAAAGGTTTGAAGGGATATGGGCCGGGAGTAGGCAGGTGGGACTAGTTTAGTTTCGGATAATGTTCAGCATGGACTGGTTAGATCGAAGGGTTTGTTTCAGTGCTGTATTACTCTACGACTATGACTCTTTCACTGGAAGATACCAAATATTCCATAAAACTCTACATAATCAAAATGGGCCTTCAAAGCTTCTGTATAAACAATGGAAAGCTCTGATAAAGAACAGGCTGTTGCATTGCAGCCAAGAGGCCATGAAACTTTTGAGTAAACAGTCAGAAGAACTGCTATCTCAAGAAACGTCTAGTTGGAATATATGAAAGCAATGATAAAAGATGAAACATTTACATTTAATTATCCAACCAGGTCACACTTTCAAAAGCGTGAAGTGTACTTTCCTTTCTCATCCGTCAAATGAACTGTTGTAGCTTATCTGATGACTTTTCTACATTTAGAACATCGATCTGTCACTTGACAGTTGGCCTAAGTAATATCTGGGAAATGTATTGTTTACATCTTGCAATCAAAGCACTGTCATAACTTGCCTTACTGAGCACAGCTACAACTTGTGTTAAAGCATTCAATGAAGATTTATAAAAGAAGAAAAACCATTATATTCATGTTTTAAACTACAACCACCTTCATCCCTGGTTCACACCTTCATGCAGCTGATGTACAACCCAACAGATTCTAAGATCAAGCTGCCTCTGAAAATTAGACAGACTGACCCAAGAGAGGCTCTCAGTGAACCCACAACACTGTTGAAAGCTTCCTTTAGAGGAAGGGGCAGGTTGCAGGGCCCTGTCCTCCCTCTCCCAGATGAAAATGGCCAAAGGCAGGAACAGAGACAGCATCTCTGGCCACCTTACTGGATGGCCATTTTTCATTCTGTCCTGCCTCTGTTTGTCAGTGACTGTGACTGTGAAAATCTGGATAAAAGAGTCTGCATTGGGATGCAGATAAGCAACATGAGCGGGCAAAAATTTATCAGATGGAGTACAGTGTGGGAAAACTTGAGGCATATCCACTTTAGTAGAAAAACGAGAAAAGCAAAATATTGCTCAAATGGAGACAGAAAGAGACAGAGAGAGAGACAGAGACTACAAAATGCTGCCATGGAGAGATCTTGGAGTTCTCTGCATTTATCATGAAAAAATTAGCAGCCAGGTACACAGGTTATTCTGAGAACTCAGATTTCTGAAGAACAGTCGTACTGGACTTGAAACGCTAATTCTGTCTCTTTCTCTCTCTCCCCACTACAACCACCCCCCGCCCACCCACCCCCCAAACCCTCAGAGATGCTGTCAGACCTGCTCAGTCTCTCCAACAATTTCTGGTTTTAATTTCATCGCAATATTGGGTTTAACTTGTCAGGTTTTTGATAAGCATCATCAGCCACATTTGAAAAGGGCATCACTGGCCATTTAGCAGTATGCAACTAGGTCCAAGGATGTCAGGCAGCATAAAGTGCTGCAGGACAAGGACATCACAGGTCTTCATGAATCTTTTCTTGGTCGCACACCAACTGGTCATCAATCAAGTGAAAGTTGTTCTCCTGGCTGAGCTGGGGTTGTATAGACAGTACAGGTTGCAGGGAGCTAGTTGGAAATGCAAACCCAAGCTCTCATCTATCCTGAATGGCATCAGCTCCATGCTGTTTATATAATCACAAGTCCTTCACTGACATGTCTTATGCATTTGTCAACTGATTGCGAGATCCTGAAATTTCTCAGGCACAGCCCAGGAAGAATTTAAAGCCAAAAATGTTGAGAACGGTGTCACTTCTGTTGCGACTGGTAGAACATGGCTGCCCGATGCAGCAGGCAGCATGGCGCCTTCCAGTAGGTGGCGTTTATCTGCCTCCTCCTGACCTGAGCCTTTGAAGCACTCCTCTTTTGCCATAACAGTGGAATGCAGCCTCTGCATTTTGGAGAATGCACCACAGCTACTCCCAGACTTGCAACCTCCTGATGCTCCCTAGCTGCAGATCTCAGTACAACAGGCTATCCAGTCACAAACAGCTCAGCAGCACACTGCTGGTCATATGGTCCTCATCCAAGGTCCAATCTAAGGCAGCTAAAGTGCCACCCATGCAATTCACAAAATATCCAAGTAAATGTTCAACATCAAAAGTGCTGTGAACAAATAAGAAAGAAATTGTTAAATATTGTGTATTTCCAGCAGTATTTTCAGGAGATGGAATTAGACCCCTCCAGCAGCCATTGTGTTCTTCCTTCATTTTCAGTGGTAAATTTCAGCAAGTCCAGGAAACTTGTGAACAGTTTATTAAATCGTAAGCCAGTGAAACATGGCTCAAATTGAACAGCTAGGAAAGTTATGGCTCTTGAAAGTTGCTTGCAAGAAGGCAGCCTAATGCACGAGTTAAGTGTAGAATTGGTGAGTTGGAGCCGGCTTTTCAATACCCTTCATATCTTTCCTAATTTTAACTAGCCCACATACACTTAATCTTATGCTAGTGCCAATCATGGCACCCAACCATTCATTCACTCATCTTTATTAGATGCCTTTATGGAAGTCCCATAAGACTCTTGCTAATTTCCTGTAAAAGCAGTGTGACAAGAATATTAGATAACAAGGTGTAGAGCTGGATGAACACAGCAGGCCAAACAGCATCAGAGGAGCAGGAAGGCTGACATTTCGGACCTAGACCCTTTTTCAGAAAATTTCTTTCTGAAGAAGGGTCTAGGCCCGAAATGTCAGCTTTCCTGCTCCTCTGATGCTGCTTGGCCTGCTGTGTTCATCCAGCTCTACACTTTGTTATCTCAGATTCTCCAGCATCTGCAGTTCCTACTCTCTCTGACAAGAATATTAGTTTTCTGAGCCAAGATTTGACTGAGTCAACATGAGCAGTGGTCTTAATAATGTGACAGGGCAAAATACGATATGACTCTCGTTGCAAACAAGCATATTTTCTAACTCATTCTCTGCCACGTCGCTGTTGCTCAGTCGGCAGCATTCTTGCCTGAATCAAAATATTCCTGGTTCAAATCCTACAACAGGACTACAACAGAGCAAAAACAAACAAGGCTGACACTCTATTCCAATACTGAATGAGTGATTCACTATCAGAAGTGCTGTCTATCAGATAAGGTGTTAAACAAAGACCTCACCTGTCTGTTCAGGTGTGTAGGATCCCATGGCCCTATTTTTGAAGAAGAACAGGGGATTAATTCCTGTTGTCCTGACTAATATTTAACCCCTCAATCAGATTAAGAACAGATTACCGAGTTATTGTCATAATGTTGTTTGTGGGAGTTTGTCTTGCATGGGTTAGTTACTGCAGTCGCTACATTACAACAGTATTTCAAATTTTACAGCTGCAAGCCTTTCATTAAACCTGCCTGTCATACCAAAGCTTGTCACTTTTTAGTCTATGTGATTGAGTCACATGTAGTTCCAGCTTTGGGTCTTCCAAGAAATTGATGCACATTTGCAAGGCTGATGGTGCTGTACTTCACAGCATCACATGACTGAGGGCTGGATAAAGCTGGCCTCTGAAATTAACTCCTGCCATGACACTGTCTGCTCTTCATGCCTGTCCCTCGTCCTGTATACCCCCAGCCTAAGAGCTTTCTCTACTTCTCCTTGTCCTGTTGCCTGGCTGGCTAAACACAATCACTAGGGATCTGCAGGTCAGTTGCTCCTTCGACTGGAGAGAATGTACAGCCTTGAGCTTCCATACAAGCAGAGCCCCACTTCCAGTTGGGCCAGAATAAGAAACCACTGCCCCCTTTCACTGCTCCCAGCTAAATAATGCTGGATATAGGAGACTGAGAGTGATGTTCAGTCACCATGTGCACATTGTAGTAAGGGGTGGGATCAGATAGGAAAGAGGCACTTCAGCCTCATTAACAATTTTCAAATAGCAGCTCATTGATCTAATTCAGACAGGAGGCTACTTAAACATGCATACTGGATGTTACTCCAGTTCACCAGTTTGGCTGGCACAAAGAAAACTGGGTCTTGTTTGAATGCAAACTGCAAACAGCTGTACCACATCTACAATGTGCATTAGCTGTAAAAGAAGGGACATTGTTGCTCTGCACTCAGTTCTGAAAACATGAAGGAGCATTCACAATACAGTCCTATGTCTGAAAGAGCTGAAAGTTTTTCCCACTCACCTATGATGGCCCGTATATCGGGCACCTTTGATGTGCCCAACACCTTTGCATCCAGGCGTTGGGCATCCTCCAGGAGTTGGAACTGCAACAAGGTCTTGTGAAGCTGAAAAGGAAAAAGGCAGAAAAAGCTGATGCAAAATTGTGTAATATTAACCTTCTGGAAATTTAGGAAATAGAGGAAATCTAAAGCCGAAGTTTTGGATGATTTAAACCCATCCAGATTAAACCATAACTTCAACCTGTTATCTGGCAACTCTTTAAAAAAAAAAGTAACTTTAATTTTCTGTTGGAGATCAATTGTGAACTCAGTATATCTTAGAATTTTGTTTCATTCACTTCTAAAGTTTGTAAAGTAAAAATTAAGTATAAAGACATACATCAGCTGCAGGACAGTAATCACAGCAAGGCTTCTGATGACATAACAAACTATAAAGAGCCGAACACTTGACAATATTATATTGTGACATTTAATGGGAACTGGGTTGCTTTTTTGTTTTTCTTCCATTTTGGACGTCATGACAGAGACGCTTAGTTGAATCAATGCACAATGAGCTAGCCACAAAGAAGATTTAACAATTGTGCCTGCAGTCTGGGAAATCCTGATCCAGCTGGACAAATATTCACTTTGAAAGAGAGAAAAGGAGGTCCATGGCTATTCTGTTAAACCTAAATATAGGGAATTGTGTGGATGTGAAATCCGAGCTGGCTAAAATGAGTTCAGAAACCCGGTTAAATGGTAGATCAGTAGAGCTGCATTGATAGACTTTTGAGGAGATCTCTAATAACTCTCAGCAAAAAAAAACTCAGTAAGAATCTTTCAGAAGGATGTTTCATCTGTAGATAGATAAGGGAGATAAGGATTAAAAACATTATACAAACCCACAAAGATTAGTGGCGGGTCAAAGGAGTGGACACCATTTAAGAAGAAGAAAATGGTTAAAAAGATAATAAAAAGGCACAAAGCAGTATATGAGAAAAAACTATCAAGTAATATAAAACAGATTGTAAGGATTTTAACCAAGCATTTGACAAGGGGAAAACAAAAGTAACTAAAGCTAGTGTTAGTCCTTTAGAGAGCGAGGCTGTAGAATTAGCAATGAAAAATAAATAAAGGGTAGTAGCTTTAAACAGGTGCTCTCACAGTAGACAACTTAGAAAACTTTCCAAACATAACTGAAAACCAAGAAGTGATAGGGAGAAAAACACCCAAAGAACTGTGGATGCTCGAAATCAGAAACGAAAACAGAAATTGCTGGAAAATTCAGGTCTGGCAGTATCTGTGGACAGAAAGCACAGTTAACGTTTCAGGTCAAGTGACCCATCTTGAGAACTGATGGTAGGAAAAGGTTGATATATATGCTGAAGGTGAAATGGGGGGAGGAGGGAGAAGGAAACGATAGGTGAAGATGGAGCCCAGAAACAGAGAAAAACAGCTGGGCGGACAAAGGAGTGAGTAAAGGTCAGCCTGGCAGAATCAAGAGCTGCTAATGGGGACCATCAGTGGCTGACAAGAGGTTGTGTGGGTAGCAGCCCATGTGTGACAAGGCTTGGTGTGTGGGGCTTGGGGTATGGACGTAGGAAAATGCTCGGAAAATGATTGAATTTGATATTGAGTCCAGAAGGCTGCAGAGTTCCCAAGTGGAAAATGAGGTACTGTTCATTCAGAGATAACAAAGTGTGGAGTTTCCGGTCAGCTTTCCTGTTCCTCTGATGCTGCCTGGCCTGCTGTGTTCTTCCAGCTCCACACTATGTTGTCTCCGACTCCAGCATCTGCAGTTCTAGCTATCTTACTGTTCTTTCAGCTTGTGTTGAGCTTCACTGGAGCACTGCAGTAAGCCTGAGACAGAGGAACACAGTGGTGTGATGAAGTGGCAGGCAATTGGAAGCTCAGCTCATTACTGTGGATAGAACATAAGTGTTCTGCAAAGCAGTGGCCCAGTCTGTGCCTTGTCTCGATGTAGAGAAGACCACATTGTGGGCAGCAAATACAGCAGACCCTTCTGAGGAAGGGCCACCGGATCTGAAACATTAACTCTGACTTCTCTGCACAAATGCTGGCAGATCTACTGAGCTTTTCCAGCAATCTCTATTTTTGTTACAGCAGATTATATTGACTGAAGTTCAGGTGAGTGAAGTGCTGCTTCACCTGGAAGGTGTGCCTGCGGCCGTGGATGGTGAGGAGGAAGGAAGTAAATAGGCAGGTGTTATGTCTTCTGCGACTGGACGGGAAGGTCCTGTGGAGATGTGGGGAGGCGTTGGGAGTGGAGAAAGAGTGAACCAGGGTGTCCCAGAAGGAACGGTCCCTGTAAAGGCTGACAGGGAAGGAGAATGTGTGTCTAGTGGTGGCATCATGCTGGGGATTGCAGAAATGACGGCTAATGATCCTTTGCATGTGGATGTTGGTGGGTTGGTAGGTGAGGACTGGGGCACCCTATCGCTGTTGTGGGAGGGAAGAGAACGGGTGAGGGCGGAGGTGCGGGAGATGGGTCCGACAGGGTTGGGGGCCCTGTCAACTACAGTGACGGGGGATCCTCGGTTAAGGAAGAAGGTAGAAATTTCGGAGGCACTCTTATAGAAACTTGCATCATCAGAACAGATGTGACAGAGATGGAGAAACTGGGAGAATGGAACACTGTCCTGCAGGAATGAAGGTGTGGGGACGTAGAGTGAAGGTAACTGAGGAAGTGAGTGGGTTTTTGGTGGATATTGGTGGTCAGCCTATCCCCAAAAATGGAAAGAGATGTTGAGGAACGAAAGCGAGGAGTCAGAGATGGACCAGGTGAAGAAGAGAGCAGAGTAGAAATTGGAAGCGAAACAGATCAATTTTTCCAATTGTAACGAGAGAGAGGGAAGCAGCACCAGTGATGCAATTGATATACCAGAGAAAGAGTTGTGGGTACTGGCTGGAATAGGACTGGAACAAGGAATGGGTACCCATGGCCATCCCTTTGATCTGAAGAAAGTGAGAGAAGTTGTTCAGAGTGAGGATGAGCTTGGCGAGACCGTGGAGGGTGGTGGTGGACGGGGCCGGTTCAGGCCTTTTTTCCAGGAAGAAGCCGAGAGCCTTGAGACCATCCTGATGGGGGATGGATGTGTAAAGGGATTGTACATCCATGGTCCGTCGGAAGTGGCTGGAACCCACAAACTGAAAATTCCAAAACTGACGTAAAGCGTCAGAAAAATCATGGATGTAATTGGAAAGGACTGGACAAGGGGTGGAAAAAATTGAGTCCAAGTAGGAAACGATGAGTTCTGTGGGGCAGGAGCAGGGAGAAACAATGGGCCTGCCCAGGCAGTCCTGTTTGTGGATTTTGGGAAGGAGGTAGAAAAGTGGGCTCTGCAGAGCTGAGAGACCATGAGCTTTGTGACTGGTGGGGAGATTACCAGATGAAATGAGATTAGTGACCATTGTGGACACAATCAAAGTAAAATGATGACAATCACCAGAGGAAAATTCCTGGTCCTAAAGGCTGTGATAATGCCAGATGGCTTCCAACTGATGGTTTAAAAAAACATGGTGGCACGAATAGAAAATGCATTTGCTTTAATCTTCCAAATTTCCTAGGATTCTGGAAGGGTCCCAGCAGAATGGAAAATAGCAAACTTAACACCTTTTATTCAAGAACACATGAAGGCAAAAAAACAGGTAACTACAGGTCAGCTGGCCTAATATTTGTCATTGTGGATGGCTCTAATCCATTATTCAGGAAATCAAAAAAATCAGGATGCAATCAGACAGAGCTAACATGGGCTCTGTGATGAAGAAATCATGTTTAACTAATCTATTGTGTTTCTTTTTTAAACCAATGTAACATTCATTGTGGACGGGGGAACCCTTATATCTGGTATACTTGGACCTGCAAAAGGAATTTGATACATTCACCTTTGTGGTATTTTAAAGGATAAGAACACATGGTGTAGGGAATAACATAACAGCATGGATAAAAAAAGATGTTAGCTAACAGAAATTAAGGAAAAATGAGCATTTTTCAGGTTGGCAAGCTGTGACTAGCAGAGTGCCATAGGGATCAGTGCTGGGTCCTCAGTTATTAACACCACATATGAGCAATTTGACAGGATTGAAGGTATGGTAAGTAAATTTGCCAACAGGGAGTATAGTAGGGGTCTGAGGACACATCCTTGGGGGGCTCCAGTGTTGAGTGCTATTGTGGAGGAGGTGCAGTTACCTATCCTCACTCATTGCGGCCAATGGGTCAGAAAGCTGAGGATCCAGTTGCAGAGGGTGGAGCCGAGACCAAGGTCTCGGAGTTTTGATTTCGGTGTGGAGGGGATAACGGTGTTGAAGATGGAGTTGTAGTCAACGAGCAGGAGTCTGACGTAGGTGTCTTTGAATTCCGGATGTTCCAGGGATGAGTGCAGGCCTAGGGATATGGCATCCTCTGTGGACCTGTTACATCGATAAGCAAATTACAGGGGATCGAGGCAGGCTGGGAGACTGGAGTCGATGTGGGCCATGACCAGCCTCTCGAAGCACGTCATGATTGTACAGGTCAGAGCCACTGGGTGGTAGTCACTAAGGCACATTGCATGTGCTTTCTTAGGTACAGGGATGATGGTGGTCTTCTTCAAGCAGGTGAGGGACTTTGGCTTGTGGGAGGGAGAGTTTGAAGATGTCGGTGAATGCTTCCACCCGTTGGTCTGCACAAGTTCTGAGTGCTCGGTTGGAGACACCGTCCAGGCCTGTCGTTTTCCTTGGGTTGACTCCCAGGAAGACCGGTCTGACGTCTGCAGCAGTGACCGAGGGAGCAGGTGTGACCGGGGGTCTCGGGGCAAGCGTCACTGCATCGCTGACATTCTGCTCAAACCGAGCATCAAAACCATTGAGCGTGTCAGAGAGGGATGTGTTTTTGTCTGCTATCCTGCTCTGCTCCATATTGTATCCCGTAATGTTGTTTAGGCCTTACCACAGGCGGCAGGAATCTGTTTAGTAGGTTTAGGCTTCTAATGTGGTCCAGTACTGCCTGTTGGCATCCCTGATGGCTTTGTGCAGGTCATGTCTGGATTTCCTGAATTGGTCTGGATCATCAGACTCGAAACGGGAACAGGAAAGCAGGACACTATTTAAATGTAGTGGGATTATATGGCTTGGTGGTTTAGAGGGAACTGTGTGTCCTGCTACATTCATCATAAAAAGTTGGTATGCAGATACAAGGAATATTAGGAAGGCGCATGGAATTTTGTTGTTTATTACAAAGGGAATGGAATATAAAAGTAGGGAGGTTTTACTGCAGCTGTATAGGGATTAGACCTGGAATACTGTATGTGGTTTTGGTCATTTTACTTGAAAAAAAATTGCTTCAAAAGCAGTTCAGAGAAGTTTCATGTGACTCATGCCCAGGATGAAGGACTTACCTTGTGAGTAAAGGTTCAACATGTTAGAGCTCTATCTGTTGCAGTTTAGAAGAATGAGAGGTGATCTTTTTGAATGATGTAAGATCTCGAGAGGTGTGGATTGTGGATGCCTCCCTGGAGGCAGTTTCCTCTAGGGGAGGAGGGAGACTAGGGAACATAGCTGAAGAATAAGAGGTCTTCCTTTCAAGACTAATTTGATTTTTTTTTCTCTCAGTCTTATTAAATTATGAGAAGAGAAAAATTTAAAAAAGACAAGGGACAAACCTTTTTACGCAGAGAGTGGTTTGTGTGTGGAATGAACTTCAAGAGGAAGTGGTGGACGTAGGTACAGTTAGAACATTTAAAATACATTTAGATAAGTCCCTGAATAGGACAAGTTTGGAGGGATATGGACCAAATGCAGGCAGGTGGGACTAATTTAGTTTGGGAACATAGTCAGCATGGATTGGTTGGACCGAAGGGTCTGTTTCCATGCTGCCTGGCTCTAAAAATATGTTCAAGAGTAGATGAATGTATGACAGAGAAGGATTATGGTATACAGACAGGAAAGTAGAGCGAAACTACAACCATTTCTGCCATGATCTTATTGAATTGTGCAGCAGGCTCAAAGAGTAAAGATGCCTACCTAACCCTGCTTCTAAGTCAGAGCAGGCAAACGCTGACAAAAATACCAAGGTTAGCCAGTCTGAATTACGTGATTAGGGTGAGTCTTCTGTGTCCGTGGGCTACACGTCACGGATCCCAAAACGGGCAGAAACTTGCACATTTACAAGACTGCGTACATTTGATGATCCAAGAGGAGTCTCACCATGAAGAAAACACTGCTTGCAGAACATTAATCATTGATGGAAATTCTGAATGTACTTTCTTAAAATATAGGGCTAAATGCTGGGAAATGCTGGGATTGTGGCTGCACTCATGAGCCCAATTTCAATTCACTGCAGGACAGACCAAAGAAAGTGACAACTGCAAACATCAACAGATTTTCAAGACAAATTGGAGCAAGTAAGTAAATTCCATGTTAAGGCATTGAATAATAGACTACAGGTCACAAGGGAATACCTAACAAAGTTAACTTGATTGCAAAGTACAAAATAAAATCACCGAGGGACTGAAGCAAACTTGGCAGAATGGCTCTCACGTATTTAACGATAACCCTATCTGTGCGGTGTCTACACTTGCACTGATCGCCAGGGACCAGAAACCTGTAACTAGAACAATTGGAGAAGGTGGTATGCATGTCCCCAAGGAAGCTTACCCCTCAGACCAGCTGCAAAGAGAGGCAGAAGTTCCTGCAAAATTCGTCACCTTTACACAATCAGGACATCCAGGACAGAGGGTCTTGTGAAGGCAGTCACTCAAACTCGAGGGGCTTGTAATATTTTGAAGAGGGTGGCATGCAGATGAAGTATTCAAATAAAATGCAATTAAGATCAACTTACAGCACCTATTTCTAGTAACGTTCCACACTGTCGTTTACAGCTGGGAAGTCAAGCTAGACAGTCATGGGTAGTCAGCTTCCATGACTGAATTGTGTAACTTGGCAATGGCAATACTGATCTGGTACTACATCATCCTCAATAAAAGGTTAAGAATTATTTCACAAAAGGATTTACTTCTTTTGCATTGGTCAAAACATAGTCGTTCCTCTAAATATGAACAGAAATGCAATTTAAAGTATTTTTTGAAACTCTCTTACAAAGTGGTGGTTGCAGTGGGTGACCTGTCTTGGCACACCATCCAGCAGGGTGAATATCATGGTGATCTGCATCAAACCAAAAATCATAGTTATGACTCCACCCGTCAAAATGGACCTGAAAGAGAACAAAGGAAAATACATCCAATCTTTACTTCTACATTTTTAAGAAATATGCTCAATTTAGGCATAAAAGTGTGTTTTAAATCCCAATAATATTAAGGAGGCAATCTCACCATCTGTTAATATATTAAATGATCAACAATGGAAAAGAGTGGCAATTCCATTTACTGAGGCTAAATTCCACTGGTACTACCACTCCCCTCTCCTCCACCAGCCATGTAGATCCCATCAGATCCAATTACTGTGGGACAGGTGACCAATGCAACAAAGAGGGTGGATCTCCAGTATTTGTCTGTCATTGTGGAGCACGCAGGAAATCTGTCTATCCCAACAACACCCCTCCTCTGGTATTGTTCATCTCAATCCCTGAGCAACAAAGTTCGACAGTCAGGAAAATAAAGTTTCTTGATTTTTTTTTCAGAAATTGGTTCAATGTCACTACCTTGGCCATGGGGTCCATACTCTTCCATTTGGAGTCTGGCACACAGCATTCACTGTTGTTTATCACTTTCCACTTTCAACAGTGTTGGCCATTTAACAGTTGTGTCCCGATCCATTTGGAAAAGTGTATTCCAGGATCATCACAAAAGTTACGTTTTAATCAAAGTACACAAAATCCCCAATTTACCTGTCTGATGGACTTAGATTAACAGAGAACACTCTGCAAGGTTCTGTACTTAACAAGAACAACTATTTATTACAAGTAATTGAATCCCAACCCCAGGCAATTAACTGTGAACTAGCAATATGCCACTCTACTATTTGAATCTCTAACTACCTTTAATAATTCCCCAGACACATACCGACAGACAAAAAAAGTGTAGGTGTTATGAGTGAAGGGGAAAAAATCTGGGGAAACAGTTCAATGGCATTAGGCTTTGATGAAATGTTCCTTCTTTTTCCCAGGACCTTCTCATCTCCTAAGTCCTTCCTTCCAGATTCTCACTTCTGTGCTGAAGACACAGGTGTTTACACATTAACTGCTCTATTTCAGAGTCACTTGAAGTTCAAAGCACACTCAAAAGTCTGCAAGGATTGCAGGATTCCCCATGGTATAGAAATGGACAATGATGTGATGAACACTGCCACACATCTGATTCAAAATAGATTTAATTTCTTCAATGTACACACATATTAATACCGGATATCCTCACAACAGTAGAGATGCATTTGATCCACAGGAACCCTCTGTGCTGGTTTTATTTCAGTGACTAAACCAACTTAAAGAGTGGGCACTGGGCAACAAAGGCTGGTCCCTGACAACATGACTCATGAACCCGATTCCCAATCCATGCACATGTGCACACCATTCATACAGTGAGGGCCGTGCTCCCCCAAGAATTCTGTTGACCTGAAGCAATTATTATGCTCTATGGATGGCTCTGCAGTACTTGGCTGAGCGACGGACGAGGACTTATAACAGGTCAAAATGGCAACTGAAACATCGTTCTGATGCCAACCCATTTTTAGCCAGTTGAACTTGTTCCACCATTCAATTAGATCACAGCTGATCGTCTCCTCAATGCAACTTCCTGCACTATCTCTGCATCTCAATTTCACTAGTATCCAGAAATCTGTTGATTTCTTGTTGAACGTTCTCAAAGACTGAGCTCCCACAGCCCTGTTGGGAAGAGAATTCCAAAGCTTCAATACACACACTGGGAAAAAAATTTCCTCTCATTTTGGCCTTAAGCAGCATACCCCTTATTCCACATTTATGTTCCCTGGTTCTTGACTGACCAGACAGGGTAAACATTCCATCTATATCCTGCCTATCAAGTGCTCTAAGAATTTTACACGTTTCAATGATATTATTCTTTGACACTCTGGATATGGCAGACACTGTTTGCTTATTCTTTCCTCATACCACAATCCCACCATCCCAGAAATTAGTTTGCTGAACCTCTATTGCACTGCTTCTATAGCAAGTACATTCTTCCTTAGATAAGGAAACCAATACTTCAGCTGTGCTCTCAACAGGACTCTATACAACTCAGCAAGGCGTCTTTTCTCTGTAATCACATCCCTTTGTGATAAAGGCCAACGTACCATTTGCCTTCCTCAGTGATTATTGTACCTACTTTTAGTGACTCCTAAACAAGGACACCCAAGTGCTTCTGACCACCAACACTCTCTACTGCGTCATCATTTAAGAAATACTCAGATGTTTGCTTTTTCTACCAAAAGAGACAACTTATTCATATTACATTCCATTTGGCATGTTCTAGCCGATTTGTTTTGCCTGTTTAAATCCTCTTGAAGCCTCCTTGCATCTTCCTCACAACTTACATTCCCACTGAGTTTTGTGTTATCAGAAAAATTGCCAAGTCATTGAAGTGTGTCAGGAGCAGCTGTAGACCTAGCACCAATTTTTGTCGTACCTCCTAGTAGCAGCCTGTTGCCCTGAGAATGACTCATTTATTCCAACACTCTGCTTTCAATCTGTTAACTGATTTTCAATCCATACCAGTATATTACTGTCTATACCATGCGCTTTAATTTTGTTTACGAGCCTTTTGTATCTGATCTTATCAAAATCCTTCTTAACCTCCAGCACACTAGATTCATTGCTTAACCTTTATTTATGAGACAAACGGCACCTTCACACACTCCAATGGGTTTTTTAAACACAATTCCCTTCCATAAAACCATGTTGACTGTCCAGTTTTATAATTCTTTTCTAGGTCTCCCCTTATCTCAGACTTTGTAAGAGATTCAAATACCTTCCTACCATGCATATAAATTAATAGATCTGCAGTTCTCCATTCTCCTTCTCTTCCTCCCTTCTTAAATAGTGGGATTACATTTGCTTACTTTCCAGTCTTTAGGAACCCTGCCATAACTATTAAATCTTGAAAGATAACCAACAGTACATCCATTATTCCTCTAGCCAACTCCTTCAATACTCTGGGATGAAGTTCATCTGCTCCAGGGGATTTATCAACCTTCAATCCAGTTAACTTTTTAAGTACCAGCTCTTTTTTTAATGCTAATTACTTTCCATTCTTCAGTTTCACAAGTCCTGTGGTTTATCTATGGGAAATTTCCTACATCTTCTTCTGGGATATGAAATCATTGTTCAGTTTCTCTGCCATTTCCTTGTTCTGCGCTAAATTCTGCTATCTCCACATGCAATGGGTCCATGTTTGTCTAAGCTAATCTTTTCCTTCTCATTTACCTGAAGATTACAGTTTAGTTTTTGTTTCTTGCTAGATTGTATTCCTACATCAAATTCATGATCACCCTTGCTGAATTCTAATTGCTCCCAATCCTTGGACTTTCTAATTTTTCCAGCATCCTTATTAGCTACCTCCTTTGATTTGCAATGATGAACTTCTTTCGTCAGCCACAGCTGATTCAACTTTCCTGTTGGTTTTTGCTAACTTAAGGAATAGATATATTATGGACCATATAGCTCTTGTTCAAATAATAGCTATTGCCTGTCTGCAATCAGGTCTTTCAACATATTTTTGTAATCCAAAACAGTTTCACTTGTTCAGATTTACCATCCCCGATTCCGAAGACTACCTTTGGCAGTTTGGTGGGACAGAATTAGAGTATTGCTGAAACATTTTGTGGAAGCTTTTTGTTGCACACTCATTGGGACAATTTAAAAAAAAAAAAGCCAATCGAAAGGGAAAACAACATTTATATTATGTGAGAGGACAGTGCTAGTTATTTGGATACTCGTGGAGGTGTTGCCACAGAGAATGCCCCAGTTAAATTCATGTTAGCTCTGATTCAACAAGGCATTGCCTTTAGAAAGTAACCACAGAATGGCCACCAGTTAGCTTGTTGAGTTGCAACAGGTACAGTATATGTATACGTTAAAACAAATATATTAACAAATTTAAATTCTAGTGGGCACAATGGTGCCATTCTTTGAGCTTGACTGGCAATCTAAATTGGTTATCAGCTACGTTCCCTCTAATTTTTTCTGTTACTGCATGGACTTCCCATGTGTATGTTCGGCTGCAGCTTTGGGAACTGGAAGTCAATGCTGGGAACTACATCTGCATGCTGATTTGCTGTGCACAGCCTCATGGCTGAAAGATTGCCAACCTTAAAGGGAACACTGGTTGTCAGCCTAATTCTTTATGTCACATTTCATGTTGGATACTGCTCTGAATTTTCCAAGTGCAGGCTGGTTGGGTAGGATTAGTATCTTGCTTGTTACTGCCAGCCAAAGGCTGATGTGTTGTTGATTCAATTTGCCAGTCTTTGGGACACATGCTGACGGACCTACCACATTCGTCATTTGTTCATGATCCATCTGGCTGCAGTAAAGTGCACGGGGATCCAGAAGAGGAAGGAGAGTCAGTACGCCTGGCCCAGCTCCTCATGGCCACAAGAGCATGAAAGGTGAATGTAGATAGTGTGTGTACAGAGCAGACTTCATTTAATTCCAAAATAAGAATCACTAACCCCATATGCATCACATTTGTATGGTGCCAGGTACATTAGCAGGTACGCCATTCTTTCTGAATATGGCCCTAGCCAGATCCAGAATGAAAGGGGAGCACTGAGCTATTCCCCACCATTAAAGTTTCCACCCAGAAAATTGCTCCACTAATCTCACAAATTAGAAGTTATTAAGAGGTCAAACAGGAAAAAAATGGTATTCGCTCAGATTTTGTATCACGAGTTAAGTGGGAGGCTACCAGTGCTCACTGTTACTAAGAAATAAATCAGACAGTAACCTCCAGTTTCCATGCATGCATTATTAAATGCACAAATCAGGACTTCGCTGTCTGACCTCTTGGTGAAAGTCCTGCAGGGTCTAACTTTGGGACAGGAGTAGGACTGTTTCCTCGCTGGCCCCCACTCCCACAAAATGGCTGCTAGGGAAAGTAGGTGGTGGGACTTCTGCCTGCGCTACTCAGCTACGTTTTTTCTTTGCCATCCTTCATCAGCTTGGCCCAGTTTTGTGACTGCAAAATCCAGCCTTGTGTGTCTCAGTGAGGACACTTCAATCCTTTGAGTACTCTGAAAAAT